CAACGATGGAGAAGACATGTATTCTTTTAAGCTTTCTAAGGCACGGTCGCATTCTTCATCCCACTCAAACTTGGCTTTTAATGCTTAGAAAAATTATCGGCATCTGTCTGACGACCGACTTATGAACCGGTTGAGCACAGCTACCAGGCTAGTGAGATGCTACACTTCTTTTACTGTGTTGGGCCTTTCTAGATCTTGGATAGCTTTGATCTGAGAGGGGTCTACCTCTATACCTCGGTTGGTCACTAGGAAGCTTAGGAATTTGCCTGATTCTACGCCGAACACACATTTGGATGCATTTAGGCACAACTTGTTCTTCTTTAGAATCTGAAACATTTCATCTAGGTCCCTGAGATAGTCCTTCTCATCCTTGCTCTTGACCACCATGTCGTCGATGTAAGCCGCCATTGTTCTGCCTAACAATGGTTCGAACATCTTGGTGATCATCCGTTGGAATGTTGCCCCTGCGTTCTTAAGGCCAAAGGGCATGACTTTGTAATAGTACAATCCTCTAGGCGTTGTGAAGGACGTGACCTCCTGGTCTGGTTCATACATAGCGATCTGATGGTAACCTCTGTACGCATCAAGGAAGCTAAGTCGATTGTGTTATGCCGTCAGGTCTACCAGTTGGTCTATCCGTGGTAGGGAAAAACTGTCCTTTGGGCATACCTTGTTGACTATTTTGTAGTCCACGCAGACGCGCCATTTTTCATTCTTCTTTGGCACTATTACGGTATTGAAGATCCACCTGGGATAGTGCACTTCTCTGATAGCTCCTGCCTCTAGTAGGTTGCCTACTTCTTCCACCACTATCTCTGCATAGTGGAGTGCTGATCTGCGAGTGTGTTGTATAACTGGTCTGGCAGTTGAGTAGACGTTCATTTGGTGACAGATGAAATTTGGGTCAATGCCAGGCATGTCATACGGTGTCCAGGCGAACACTTCGATATTAGAGGTTAAGAATTCCATAACCTCTATTCTCTCAGTGCTGGACAATGACGAGCCAAGCAAAAAGAACTTTTCTGGGTCTTTTTCATCTATCTTTACCTATACCAAGTCTTCCGCTGCCTTCTGTTCGGCGGTTTTGCCAACATCCATAAATAATTCATTGCTCTCAGGTTCTTCCACTATCTGTACATACCCTTTGGCAACGCAGCTGCCGTTTACTGTGACAAAGCACTGTTTGGACATAATTTAGTCTCCCAAGACCTCTTCAAGTATTATGGTTTTTACTCCGATTTCGTTGGGAAACCGTAATACTTGATGGTAGGTTGACATTACCGATCGCATAGCGTGCAACCATGTCCTTCCCAGGATTATGTTGTAAGTGGAAGGGACTTTCAATATCCAAAATTTCACCTGTTTCGTCATGTTTCCTGCTCTAACTGGGAGGATTATCTTACCCATTGGCCACTCTAGCATTGAGTTGAATTCGATTAAGGGCGATGTTGCGAGCGCCATGTCTTTGTCCTCTAGTTTCAGTTGTTTGAAGGTTTCATACTACATTATCTCACATGAGCTTCCCTGGTCAATCAAAATCTGTTTGACGTCGAAATCCTTGATGCGGAGAGTGACAACCAATGCATCATTGTGAGGTAGTATATCCTTGCCAAATCTTTGTCCGAAAAAGATATAACATTTGTGGCCTCTGTTCTCCCCTTTTTGATGGCAGGTTGTGCACTTAATACCTCCCTTAAGTGCTCAGCCTTTTTGATTATCCACCTGAGCTCACATATTCGCTCGGGTTCGAATATCCCATGTATCACGTTAATTACGCCTTGAGGTGGAGCGTCGACCGGCATCCCGTTTGGGACGTTGTGGTTCTGGGGGGCTGGCTGTGTTCCTCCTTCTATGTACTGGCCCAAATGCCCAGCCGCCATTGACTCCTCCAAGTATTGCCTCAACGGCGTGCAATTTTCAGTGCGGTGCCCCTTTTCATTATGAAAAGTGCACCGAGACCTCTCGTCATAGTCCTTCTGTGCTTCTCCTAACTTAGCTGGCCATCGGACGAAAGGTTCGTCTTGTATCTCACTGAGAATTCAGTAGATTGGTTTTTTGAACACCGTGGTAATAACAGCGCGCACTCTTAGCCACCTTTTGTCTGGATCCTCTTTGTTGGCCTGTCTGTCTCGCCCATTCCTGCTTGGGCATTCTACCGTATTGACTTTTGCCGTAGTCTTTTTATCTGGCGTCGCTGCTATGCCAGATTTTGTTTTAGCACTGGCGTCATCCTCCTCTATGCGAATATGTTGGTGCACTCGCTCCATCAAGGCCTCTATCGTAAGGGGTAGTGCTATAGTGATTGAGTCCCTCAACTTATTTCCGACTGGCAAACCCCTTTTGTATTGCGCAATGGCGAGATTTGTGGGGCAATCTCCTAACGACTGTTGTAGGACCTCAACAACTTTTTTTCGCCCATGTCAATGGAGAGTAGCTGGTCGATCTTCACTGGTGTCTTGGTGTTCGTCCTGAATCTAGTTACGAACGCTTCTGTCAACTGCGTCCATGAGGCAATGCTACCCTTTGGTAGCCTTTCGAACCAGGTTAAACCTTGGTCGCCAAGATTGGATGGAAATAGGATGCACATTAAAGCCTCGTTTCGTTGGTAAACCGCCATAACCTGGCGAAAGTGGCTTAAGTGCATGTAAGGGTCCGTTTCCCCCTCATATATAGTGAATTTGGGTTGGTTGAAGCCCGAAGGTAGTGGCGCGTTCTCGATTGCCAGAACGAACGGCGAGCTCTAAAGCCTTGCTAACGCTTTGTCTGTTGGTTCATAAATAAGGTGCGGTATTGGCATTCCTACCTCGATGCTGCCATGCGTCCGAGAGGTCCAACCGCTGAAGGGCTGAGACTTTGTGCGGGTCGCGTGCCCTGATATCCTCCTTCCATCATGCCTTTTCTTTAAGCACAGTTCGCAAGTCTGATGTTCTGGGCAACTCCGTATGCCTAGATGACGTCTGGTGCATGTGCGAGGGCCGATAGGTGCTTCTTTCAGTATATGACCTCTCAATTCTTGTTCTCTTAGACCTAGAGTAACGAGTCCTGTAGGTCCTCGATCGAGTGTCGCCTGTTCTCAGGCTCCTACTCTCTGCTTGCGATGGTGTGGTATGCCTACCACGATCTTCTAAGTGGCGAGGGGGTATGTTGCTTTTGTGCTCCTCTCCTGTTGCCAACCCTTTTCCTTTTATCTGGTGCTTCATTGACTCCATGTCCGTCGCCATCCTTCGTATCAACTCGTCCTGCTCCTTTACGCGATCTTCCAGAACTTGAGGGTCTATCCTCCGCCTCTGTCATTCTGGACTGTGAGAGCGACGGGGGCTATTAACCCGTCTCCCCCTTGCATCCCTCCGGGGGTTCTGTCGCTGGGGTTTTAAATCTGTCATGGGAGGGATGGAAGGCAAACCTTCGGGCCTCCCACTCCCCTCTGGGGTTTGTTCATCAATAGCAGACTGTGGCAAATCTTCATTATGCGCCATTACTTCCAATTAGAGAGGAAAAACTTGATCAAGAGGTTTTGTTCTTTCTGGTTTTTCCACAAATGGCGCCAATTGTACGAGCACGAAATAATTCTTCTCGTATAATCCTGTTGACCAAGTCTGCGCTCCTCCAAATGTCGTCGCTTTACTCCCTGAAAACACAAATGTGAGCTAGCCGGCGAGTGTGTGCTGGATACTTCTCCTATGCCTAAGTCAGCAAAATAGACAAATAGACAAAAACTCTGTGCATTCGATAATCAAAGTTGTGTGTTACCTCTACATAGGTTATGTTATGAGCTTTTTATAGGTTCTGTGTGGCACAATCTTAGTAGGACTCTTACTCCTCCATGTAGAGTCCTCCTAGGAATCACACTCTTGAAAGATAATACTTATCCTTCAACACCCCTCTCACTGCTTAAACCAAGTGAGATAGTTTTGCTTCGGTTGGATGAAGATATGACCGAGCTATCACTAGCACTTTGTCATACTTAATCCCACGCCTTCACATGTAACTTATAACTCGGCTCTTGTTCACTTGTACCTCGGTTGCCTGTTGAGACCGAGCTAACTTCCAGCGGGCTTCGACTGCGCTTAATCAAAGCAAGGTTCACCATGAGAAGCCATCATATCTCGGCTCCGAATGCTATGGTCGAGCCAATTATCTCTACCCCGACTGTGGCAACTATAATCACACTTAGACCGAGCTAACACTTGACCGCATTCCACATGCTGAGCTCTTTTCACCACGGCCCAAATAACGGCCCATTTGCCATGCTTTGGTCTAACTCGGCCCTAATGCAAATAAAAACTTCCCTCTCAGTTAGTAAAAAACAACTTTTGATTTTTTTTTATTAATATTTATTTATGATATCACAACATAATAAAATGACTAAACTATTCTCACCTAATTTAAAAAATTTACAATTTTGCTTATGTGACTCATTTTGTTCCATGAAAGATACGGTTGTAATCTTACAAGTAATTTTTTTTTACCTTCTCAAATGATTTTAATGGTAAAAAACCATTTAAACTTTTTTGCAAAGAGTTGCAAAACGCAACTTTTTTTATTTTATTTTTGGCAAGTTGCCAAAACGGCACTGTCTTTCAGGGAAACAGGTGGGTTTGAAACCACTCCCATTGATTACATGGAGGAGACTCAGAAGAGATGAGACTTGCTCGGGGTAGGTCATATCATATGTCACTTCTTATACTGATAATTGGAAAGTGAAAAATATTTCATGATTAATTGGGATGAGAGAGATTGGTTTGTTTTAACACAAATATGGTTGATTACTTGTCTTATTAGTTGATTGAGCAATCTTGTTGACTGCATGAGGGTTGTGAAGTTTGCGACTACTTGATTCTCTCATAAATTTTTTTATGTCTTTGCCAATTTAAATCCTCTATTGCTTGGTTTTTATAATCTGAAACTAGTTTATGTTTAATTTAGCATAGCATGAATGTTTTTGATACTCTATAGCTAAACTAAGCAAAGAAACTTCCTAATATATACAAGTGAATTTTCTTGCTAGAATAAAGTTCCTTATATATATATATATATAACATGACTCATTTCTTACAAATGTCTGGTTTTTTTCTTGATGAACAGAGCATAAGCCTCAGTATTTATCCCATTATAATGAAACCATACAATTCACATATACTGAGCCCTTTTTTAACTGTAATTTCAGCATATCAAGAGGGGCCACTCCATGTTGAGACCGATACCGTCACTTATCCCAATACTGTTATTTAAAATTATAGTGATCAGACGGTATACACAGATATGTATACATTCTCATTATATTATGTATAGTTATATATAGTGTTTGTCCATTGATTAGCATGAACTTCGCAAGGTTATTTTTGTAGACCATACTGATGGGTTCAGTGGCCTTGTAGCTGCAAGTGTGAGCTCTAGATCAGGTGCTGCATTTTGAACAGTGGACTTTGTTAAATTGGAAGCTGTAATAGACTTTGTTTGAAATGACCCATATACCCATACAGGCATGGAAGGTTGGCTGGCTTTGAAAACTTGTTCTCTTGAGGAATGATCAAAACCTTTGATAGAACCATTTGTCTGCCCTAAACCCCATGAGATTGAAGCTTCATGGGGCATGGAAGTGTTAGCGACAACCAGTTTGTCCTTTCCCACCTGCTAATGAGACAACACAATTGATGAAACAAATTTTTTTTTTTTTTTTGGTTTTGTTTTTTTTAACCGTATAAACTTTTAGATGAGACGGTGGTGTTAACAATTTTAGCAAGAAATGAAGGGTCGTTACCACGTCGAAGAGACTGGGACGGCGTTTCTTCTTGTTGAGAGAGTTTTGCCTAAGAAAATACTTCTGGGCATGACTGGCAACTTGGGTCGGAGTTCTTGTTGTCACAAACTTCTTGGAGATGCCTCTCCAGTCTCCCTTGCCGAGCTTTTCAAGCCCAACTAAGAATATCCGGTGCTCCTCTTCAGTCCATGGCACACCTGATCATCATTTTCATCACCAACACAGTAAAGTTTTTTCTTTATGAGAAAGTGTTTTTCACAACAAAATCAGTATGTCTACCCATATTTTCAATTATATTGTTGTCTTGTCATTCTAATTAACTACTTTCCTCGAAAATTCTGTGTTGATGGAATGGAAATTTATGCAAACAAATCAAAAAAATCAATGGTTGGTGATCAGCAAGAGGAAATTATGCAAAATCATCATTTGTCTTCATTTTCTTTTGGGTTGAAAAATTCTAGTAGGTTAAACTGAAAACTATATAAACAAGGTAGAACAAACTACAAAAACTATATGTCAGGATTTTAGACTTCTGATCAAGTTTTAATATCGATTATTACGGCTGATACAAATTGATATTTTGAATTTTTCATATTGATATTCATTGATATATTGAAGGATCAGCCGACATAAGACTATATGGTTGATACCGAAATATTTTGATATTGTTATTTAAAACCATACTTTCCAATATGCCATTAGATATTGTATTGCCATTAATATGCATTCTAATACCATTTTTTAAAACCATAATCATTGTTGATCGGTCTTATTGGTTGATGACATTATTACTGTCGCAATGAATATTTACTCAAAGGGAAAATCACACTAAGAATAAGAACTAGAAGAGATATTGAACCAAACTGACCTTTTTTCCTTTCCTGAGATCGGCTGATAAGGCCATCGGAGAGATACCCATTAGGTATCTTACGATCATTAGTGTTTTCATCCATGGAAACCTGTGAAGATGTAGAAGAAGAAGGTGACAAGCAATCCGTGCTGAAACTCTTCTTGATGGCAATAGAAGAAGAAGACGAAGAAGTGTGAAGTAGTTGGACCCCAAAGAGCCTCAGCCCACCAACAAGACTCATCCCTTTGTGAATGGTATTAGTGCAAGTCCTTGAGTTATGACCAATGTTCCCGCAATGTGAGCATTTCCTTCCCATTTTCAACCTGACCAATTTCAGTCTCCTAATTCACAACCACCACCCACAAAACAATGAAAACTTACAGAGAGAGAGAGAGAGAGAGAGAGAGACAGAGAGAAAAGCACCAATCACTTGTATGTGTATGGTGGTATATATAATGATGGGAATTGGTGGGGTGGGAATGCAAAGTAAATCTTCCTCTCTCTCTATCAATGGATGAGAAAAAGCTTATTTTATAATGGAATCTATGTTTGTACAAACTATACTACTTTTATATTTCGTAATACAATCGTAGTTATGGATAGATAGTAGTATACATGACATATACGACATATATATATATATATATATATTTTATTGATAAGAATGAGTAATTAGTTCTTAGATTAGTATTGGGAGAGTTGAATTCCTCAATTTACTCGTGTCTTTTGTCCATGCCAGATGTATATATATGTACAATCACATTATGATTTACAAGTAACTTAGAATTTAATTGACCGGTAAAAATTTAAGAATAAAATTTAAAGTTTCGAATTCAAATTATTCCAAGGGCCACTGGCATGCATGAATTTATTGGCACAATTTGTTTGTTATTACTAAGGGTGTGTTTGATTGGACGAACTGAATAAGGAAGAATTAGAATCTATCGGACTTGAATCTTGAAACTATGAATCTCCCAGACTATTTAGTTGGATTGGATGTGTATTATGTGTTTGTTTTCTCATGGGATTAGATGTCTAAGAATGACTATTTTTAATGAATCCAATGTTTGGTTGGATGGACTGGATAGGATAAATGAGCAAAAGACTATTTTACCTTTTTTCAATTGTTTACTAAGTAATAGTAATATTAAACATATCTTTAATATTTTAATTATTTTTAGCTAAATAAAATAATATATTATTTTATTTTATTTTTTACACAATTAAATAAATTTATTTTAAAAAATAATAATAATTAAATAATAAAATTAAATAAAACATCTAGTAAAATCTAAATAATGAAATTAAATAAAATATAAACAAAATTTTAAAATAAAAGATTAATAAAATGTTAAATAAAATTATTTTATTTTTAAATTGAGATATTTAAAATGGTCAAAATGGTCATTTCACCACCTAATTCCAATAATAAATTATCCCATGGAAATAATCCTACCCCAGGATACAATAATCCCTCATATGAGGGATATGGAGTCCGATGGATTAAAAAAAAAATAAACGCCTGATAAAAAGCTTCCATCAGATTACAATCCAAACAGTGTTTAGGTCAAGTTTGGGAAGACTAAAAAAGTGCACTTTTTGTCTTTTTGGACTAAAAAATTGAGGTTGAAAATATGGATGTTTGGGTTAACTTTTTGACTTTTTATTGAAAAATGTGTAATAAAAAAATGAAAAAATTGATTCGTAGGGACCTATTTAAATTAAAATCACTTTTCAAAATAAGCAAAATTCAAAATTTTAGACTTTTGGTGAATAGTGTTAACTTTTTAGCTTTTTGAGTAACTTTTTGACTTTTTGGCTTTTTTGAATCTTCCCAAACTTGCCCTTAGTCTTCCTTTCATCTCCCCAATTACACACACCCTTAGGCCATGTTTGTTTGGATGGACATGAGTTTGGGATTGAACTAATTGTCTAATAAAGTTATTAATATGATATTTGGTTAAACAGTTGAAATACGGACTAATTATTTTAAACTTGACTATTAGTTAAGATAGGATACATAATCCAACGGATTCGTAGTCCTAGGACTATTAGTCATGGGAATGCTAATCCAGTCCGTCCAAACAAACATGACTTTAGTGTTAGATATTGTTTGTATTTATTGATTTTTAATGTATTATTTCATATCAAGAAACTAATTAATATGATCATACAAAATGATGACAATAAAGATTAATGAGGTATTCTTTTGATTTTTGCTCCCTTTTGTGTTGTAGGTCAAATAGTTGGCTAAGAGGCTAAATCCTCTATTCAAATTCTCTCTTCTATTTCCGATCTCAAATCACTTCTTTAACACTCAACGTGTCTCTCTAAACTTGATTATATAATGAAAATATAGATTAAGATATGAAGGCACGGGAGATCTAACCGTGTGATCCCATATCACATAGAAACTTGTCCATGACTGCCTTATCTTAAGAGCAAATTATTAGGATTTTTAAGTAAATTATACTAGCCAATTTTATTTATTTATTTATTTATTTTATATATATAGTATCAGATTTTTAGTCTTCCTTTCATCTCCCCAATTACACACACCCTTAGGCCATGTTTGTTTGGATGAACATGAGCTTGGGATTGAACTAATTGTCTAATAAAGTTATTAATCTGATATTTGGTTAAACAGTTGAAATACGGACTAATTATTTTAAACTTGACTATTAGTTAAGATAGGATACATAATCCAACGGATTCGTAGTCCTAGGACTATTAGTCATGGGAATGCTAATCCAGTCCGTCCAAACAAACATAACTTTAGTGTTAGATATTGTTTGTATTTATTGATTTTTAATGTATTATTTCATATCAAGAAACTAATTAATATGATCATACAAAATGATGACAATAAAGATTAATGAGGTATTCTTTTGATTTTTGCTCCCTTTTGTGTTGTAGGTCAAATAGTTGGCTAAGAGGCTAAATCCTCTATTCAAATTCTCTCTTCTATTTCCGATCTCAAATCACTTCTTTAACACTCAACGTGTCTCTCTAAACTTGATTATATAATGAAAATATAGATTAAGATATGAAGGCACGGGAGATCTAACCGTGTGATCCCATATCACATAGAAACTTGTCCATGACTGCCTTATCTTAAGAGCAAATTATTAGGATTTTTAAGTAAATTATACTAGCCAATTTTATTTATTTATTTATTTATTTTATATATATAGTATCAGATTTAGATGATGAAATGCCTTCTATAACACAAAAACCATCACCACTATTTCATTAAGAGAAATATTTATTTATTCATTTAGTTTTGGCCCTCTCTCAAGAAGATCGAGAGAGGCTAAAAATAAAGTATGAATATCATTAATTTATGAGTAAACTACTAATACGTTTTAATAGTTGGATTTAATTCTCATTAAGTCTTATTGAAAATAAGTCAAAGAAAAACAGTCAATAAAAAAAAAATTGCAGTGATTTTTTGTCTGTGCTAAAAATTTACATTAATGACTTTTTTGTTACGATTTTTATAAATTATTGATAAAACTTAAAATTAGTGACGTTTTTCTGTAGTAAATTTTTCAAATTGTCACTAAAAGTTGAAAATTAGTAACCTTTTTTGTGACGAGTTTTTTAAACTGTCGCTAAAACTTATAATTAGTAACATTTTTTGTGACAAAATTTTTAAGTTGTTATTGAAAATTAACAATTAGTGATTTTTTTAATAGTATATGATGAAAAATATCATTAATTATCATAAAATTTATTGAATAATAAGTTCATATTTTAGGACTTACACATAAATCTCTCTTAATTTGTAAATATTGCAAATATGTTTGGCCTTGTATGGGCATCCCATATATTGCAAGTACTGAATCACCGTTGTCCATAGACTTATTTTGTATTAATTATTATCAGTATATTTAATTTATGGATACGAGAAAAAGGAAAGAAAAAAAATTAAACAAGTTTTATATTATTATTATTATTTGACAAACTAATTTAAAAAAAAAATCATTAAAATTAAATGATAAAAACTACTCAGCAGCACATCGTTTTGTAAACTAATTTTTATAAAAGAAGTGTGTTTGGACAACTTTACTCAAAAATAAAAACAAAAAATTATGAGAGAGAAAAGGTAGTTGGGAGAGGGAAAGCTCCACCAATGTTTTCTAAGTGGGTGGCTGAATGACTTAGAGATGGAGAAGAAAATCTCATTTAAAATGTGTGTATGAGAGAGAAAAGAGGGGAGAGAGATATTAAGAAGTTGATGTTGATGAACCAACACAATTATAGTTGGAAAGTTGCCAAAAGTGAACCATTGCTTGCAAGACTCAAGCTCCAAGGACTGGTGGTAGAAATATATTTATTTAGAATTAAGAGAGTAGGTTCAATTTTAATATATATATATATATATATATATGGAGTATTTATATATATAGCCCACTTGAGTTACAAATGGATTACTTGGTCTGAATATCTCATTTCATGACTTAGGTTGACTTTTAAAATTTTCTTATTAAGGTTAAGTTTGGAAAGTCTCAAAAAAGTCAAAAAGTTATTTAAAAAGTTAAAAAGCTATCACTATTTACCAAAAGTTAACAATTACGGCTGCACAACTCCCAATCCTAATTTTTCTCTACAAATCAATTTTTATAATTTTTTATTACACATTTTTCCATAAAAAGTCAAAAAGTTAACTCAACCTCAACTTTTTAATCTAAAAAGACAAAAAATACACTTATTTAAGACACCCCAAACAGCCCCTAAGAATTGGAGAACAAAGTAAAAAAATAAAAGATCAAAGATAATTATAAGAATTGCGTGATTTATTTAAAATTAGATTAATACACCTAAAGAAAAAATAAGTGTAAAGAGAAATTTAATGAGAATATTTAAAAGAAAAATTGCTTAATTACACAAAATATTTTATTAATCTTGATTTGCATAGTTAATCAATGCGTAAGCCTAGTGACAAACATTATGTCATAATAGTAAAGTCACCCATCATTGAAATTGACTTATTTTTAGAGAAATATTATGGGTTTGGTAATCAAACACTCATAAATAATAAAATTATAGGAACGGTGAGGTTAAGAATAAATTGTCCTTGTGTTGGACTTTAAAGATTTATTGAACAAAGAAAAAATAACAATGTTTAGCCAAAAATGTATGTGCGCATGTGTGCGAGAGAGAGAGAGAGAGAGAGAGAGTTTACGGGGGTGTTTAATTGCTGATTATATGGAGTATGCTATAAAGAAAACCATCTCTCATTCATTGTAGCCCTTAAAAAAAAAAAAATTCAAAACAGTTTGACATCTCATGGTATCTTTCTTGTAACCCAATAATCAAGCTTTTATATAATTATTAGTGAACAATTCCATCTAGTTGGAGATTGAGATAGGTGTTTTGGAAAGTTAGTTAAAAGTTAATTTTTTAACTTTTTAAGTCTATTTTATCTTTTTGTGAGTAAGTTATGTAAGAAGT